GACTACGCTCTTCCAATTGTGCTGCTATTCTCACTTTAGATGAAGGTTTACAGAAGAAAATAGTCTCTCATTTAACAGTTAGTACACATGTTGCCCTATGACAATGGTTAACAACCTCACAAAACATCAACAATATTCTTACTCAACCTTGGGTTCCCTATCACCAGCCTTCCTGTCCCCTTCTGCCTTCTAGCCCTTGTCCCTGGACTGCTGTGCCTCATTAGTCCCATTTGGTTTTATGGGGCTTCGTAAGGCTTTGATGAACAAAAGTTTTAAATTTTTATGATGTCCCATTTTTTTATTTGTCTTTTTCTGCTTGTGGTTTTGTTCTTATATTAGATAATCCATTGTTGAAAGCTAGGCCTGACAGCGTTGCCCCTGCTAGTTCTTCTAAGAATTTTATGGTTTTAGTTTTCATATTTAGGTCCTTAATCCATTTTGCATTTGTACAACACATATTTTGGGTGGACACAATTTAATCTGTAACAACCTCTTCGTCATGACAATCAAAAATTGCCCCCAGTTGAGGACCACCAATTTAGAGTAACCGCTCAATAATCTGGGATTTACTATTTCATCTCTCTAAACCTGATCTCTACTGAAAATAAGAGAATATATTAATTCTATTTCTAGAGCAGCCAAAATGAGTACCAAGAAGATTATGCACTGTCTCAGTCATCTAGCGCTGCTCTAACAGAGATACCACAATTGGATGGTTTTAACAAAGAGAAATTTATTCTCTCATAGTCCAGTAGGCTACAAGTCCAAATTCAGGGCATCAGCTCCAGGGGAACCCTTTCTCTGTTGGCTCTAGAGGAAAGTCCGTGTCATCATTCTTCCTTTGGTCTGGGAGCTTCTTTGCGCAGGAACCTCAGGTCCAGAGGACACGCTCTGCTCCCAGCACTGCTTTCTTGATGGTATGAGGTTCCCATGTGTCTCTGCTCACTTCTCTCTTTTATATCTCAAAAGAGATTGCATTAAGACACTAATCTTGTCAACCTCATCAGTATAACCTCATCACAGTGATAGAATTTATAACACATGAGGAGATCACATATAAGCTCATCACAGTGGTAGAGTTTACAACACATAAGGAAATCACATCAGATAACATAATCATACAATACAGGGAATCAAGACCTAGCCAAGGTGCTACACGCATTTTTGGGGGGACACAATTCAATCCATGACATGCACCTAACAAATAGAAGTGCCCCACAGACGTTCTGTATACATCTAGCAAAGTGGTTTCCCAGATTGCAAACATAGCTGATTAGGAGAAGCAAATATGGTGTGATGAGAGGGCTTGCTTTTGGAAGGCACTTTTCTGGAGGTAAGGAGCCCTAGTGGCACAGTGGTTAAGCACTTAGCTGCTAACTGAAAGGTTGGTAGTTTGAACCCGCCAGCAACTTCATGGGAGAAGAGACCTGGTGATTTGCTCCCATAAAGATTATAGCCTTGTAAACCCTGTGGGATAGTTCTGTTCTGTCCTGTAGGGTTGCTATGAGTTGGAACTGACTCAATGGCAATGGGTGTGTTTTTTTTTGTGTAGCGTTAATGGTGTGTGTATATGGTATGATACAGAATTTCAATTTTGTTTTCTTTCAGATAAAGAACCACTGTGTCTACACCACTTATTAAATCATCCCTCCCCCACAGAATTGAAATATCACCTTGACTAAATATTAAATTCTCTCTATATTCCTTAGTTTTCAACAGTCTAGTATTAGCTTGGCCTTGACTGAGATAGTGTGCTGTGGCTCATCCGAGTGATGAATTCTCTTCTCTCTTCTCTTCTCTGGGAAGCACGGCTTGACGGTAATTCACCTTGCCGCCTGGTCTGGAAGCCTGGAGATCATGCTCATGCTAGTGAAAGCTGGTGTGGACCAGAAAGCTAAGAGTCAGGTAGGCATGTATGTTACACCTGGACGTAAGCTCTCACCCCACCAGCACAGGAGTGCTGAGGCTCTGAGGACACTGTGTAAGTATCTCCCTGTCCCCTGGTTCTCTTTAGGATGGAATGAACGCCCTCCATTTTGCAGCTCAGAGCAATAGTGTGCGAATTGCTGAGTACCTCATTCAAGATCTGCACCTGAAGGACCTAAACCAACCTGATGAGGTGGGTTTCCAGTGGTAGGACAGGTGTCTCATACACCAACCGCCACAAAACTCCACTTTCTTCCTGCATCTGGTGGAGCTGCCCAAGCAGCCAGCACAGACAGACCTGGCCGTGTAGCCAGATGCTCCAATACCGTAGAGGACCACACAGCAGAAGGGAAATGTTGGTGTTGGCAGCGGCTCTGGCCCCTGCCTATGGGGAGGGCAGGAAGCATTGATGAAACACCCATATTTCTTCCTCCTCTCTACGCCCTCATCCTGGCAGGGGTATGATGGTATTCACCCCCTTTCTCCTCCTCTTCCTTCTCTGACTGGAAGCAGGCTGTACAGAACCATAGGCCCAGCTAAGAGAGTCTTAAAATTAAGGTGGGTTCGGAGACATATGAGGAATGAGCGAAAAAATTAGTCTACTGGGTCATCTAAGGAGAGAAGAATCTCCAACTCTTATTTAAATCCTGTAAGAAAACTGTGGATTGAGCAATGGAAAAGACTAAGTCTACTCTTTTTATGAGATCTGTGAATTGGGGTCAAGTGTGTTGGCCAACCACCACACCCGTCAGCTTGTCGTACTGTGGTAGCTTGCATGCTGCTGTGATGCTGGAAGCTATGCCACTGGTATTTCAAATATGAGCAGGGTCACCCATGGTAGACGGGTTTCAGCAGCGCTTTCAGACTAGGAGGAAAGGCCTGGTGATCTACTTCCAAATATCAGCCAATGAAAACCTTACGGATCACAAAAAAACATTGTTGGGTATCGTGCTGAAAGCTACAAACACAGCAACAATCTTCAAGATGGTGCAGGACTGGGCAGTGTTTCATTCTGTTATATGTAAGATCACCATGAGTTTGAGTCGTGTCGATGATGGCAACTAACAACAACAATGTTGGCTAAAGCTAGTTAAATCTGGTATTAGGAACTCAGGGTCTATTAATTCATCATAGAGTTCCCATCTGTATTTGTTTAGAAAGATATTGTGGAGTTCATGGAATGTGTTTGATAGAAAAGGGCCCTTCACCTTCCAAGAGCCACCCTCTTGCCTAGTTTCTTATCAACAGTAAATGATTGAGAACAGCTGTGAGATTACCAAACAGGGATTCCTAAAATCCTTCTCTTTGGCTTGGAGGGAACTCCAAAGGCTAACAAGCAATGCTTTACTGGGAGGAGGCCTTAATAATAAAATGGATTTAATTATGCCTAGGAGAGTTTGGGGAGCCCTGGTGGTGCAGTGGTTAAGAGCTCAAGCTGTTAACCAAAATGTGGGCAGTTCGAATCCACCAGCTTCTCCTTGGAAACCCTATAGGGCAATTCTACTCTGTCCTATAGGATCGCTATGAGTCAGAATCGACTCGACGGCAACAGGCTTGATTTTTTTGTTTTTGGTTTAGGAGAGTTTGGGTGAGGATGGGAGAGATGGGGTACTCTGGGAAATCTTTTTAGGTTTCTCCTGACTCCATAGCCCTAGAAATCACTGTGATCTTCCCAGGGGAGAGTGATTCGAGCAGCCGGGGTAGTTATGGGCAGAGTAGTTCAGATATTTTGAGTCTACATGTAAACTTTCATCTAGTGATAAAAAATAAGTACTCAGACTAAAATGTTTGAGGGGGCTGGGGAATAGAAGTGAGGGCCTCAAAGGCCTTTCATATACTGATAGAATATTTACAAGAATCTTGTGGTATAATATTATGTTGGTTTCAGCTAAAGATATATAAGAACTTCGGTTGGTTCAAAGGAATATATAGCAAGTCTCTAGAGATCAAAATGCTAAGGAACTTCTTTTTTTGGATGGTGGGAATAATGAGCATGAGAGTATTGAGAAGACATTTACGTTTTTATTAGACCCGGGGCCAACATTTGACAGCCTCAGATTTAATCCAAATTATTAGCTGCAGTTTGTAAAGGGACTGTAAAATCCAGTGCCGCATGCCCACATCAGTACCGCAACATCATAGTCAACACACTGCTCTTTTCAGCACTTCTTACCTCATGGCAAATATTTTTGTTCCCCCTCAAACCTCTAGTTATTCAGGGACCTAGTGGTTTTTTCCCTTATACTGGGGTTCTACTTAAAATCCTGATCATAGGGTGAGGGGAAATGTTGCAGGGTGTAGACACGCACCTGAGGCATTGTGGGACTTGTGCTGTGTTCCATCCAGCAGTCTCTCCTCACATTATTTTTTTGTTTTAAAGCCCTGTCTAATCTTCGTCTGAAAAGTGGGCTTCAGGAATATTTTCAGTTCTGGGTTAGCATAGCATCTGAGGGCCATAGTTTCAGGGGTTCCTTTAGTCTCTGTCAGACCAGTAAGTCTGGTATTTTTATGTGAATTTGGTTCTACATTTTCCTCCTGCTCTGTCCGGGACTGTCTGTTGTGTTCCGTGTCAGGGCAGTCATTGGTGGTAGGTAGCGGGCACCATCTATTTCTTCTGGTCTCAGGCTGGTGGAGTCTCTGGTTCATGTGGTCCTTTAGTCCTTTGGGATAGTATTTTTCTTGTGTCTTTGGTTTTCTTCATTCTCCTTTGCTCCAGGTGGGATGGGACCAATAGATGTATCTTAGATGACTGCTCGCAGGCTTTTAAGATTCCAAATGCTACTCACCAAAGTGGAATGTAGAACATTTTCTTTATAAACCGTGTTATGCCAATAGACCTAGTTGTCCCCCGATACTATGGTCCCCAGGCCCCTGTCTCAGCTACTTGACTCCTTAAAGTGTTTAGATATGTCTAGGAAACTTCTATGTTTTTGCTACCTTTTGATATATTTATAAGATATAGATTACCTTTTAGTGCCCTTATTTTGTGTAATTTGGTGCTTACAGTTTTTTTTTCCTTGATGATAATATTTTAAAAGGGCATCCAAACGTTAAAGTAGTTGCTCCTTTCTTGGAGAGAAGCAACGTTTTAATCTGTAATAACTGTGTCTTTTCTCGTAACCTCCCATTTCTTATCAGACTAGGCTTTCTTTGTGGGTGGATCCTGTATTACTTTGTTTAGCTATGCAGAAATGCAAAGCTTTGTAGCACTGGGTAAAAGAATAAGGTCATTTCAAAGTTAAACAGATCCTTGATACTTCTAGTATCTAGAATTGTTTGTCCCCAAACTAATAAATATGGATTAGCTATGACTTTTACTGTTGCAAGTGACAAAAATCCAGTTCAAACTAGGTTAAACAATAAAAGGCAATTTACTTTTGCACTCAGCTACCAACCTAAAGATTGGAGGTTCAAACCCACCCAGCGGCACTATGGAAGAAAGACCTGGTGATCTTCTTCTGTACAGATTACAGCCAACAAAACTCTATGGAGCAGTTCTACTCTGACACACATGGGGTTGCCATGAGTTGGAGTCTACTCGATGGCAGTGGGTTTAGTTTTGGTTTTTTAACTAAAGAGTTCAAGAGTGTAATAGCTTCAGGCATGGCTGGATCCAGCTCTTTTTCTTTCTCCAACACTTGGCTAGCTGTGCGTTGGCATTATTCATAAGAGTCCTGCCTATATGATGGGAAAGATGGCTGCTACAGCCTCAAGTTGATATCCTTGTGGATTTTGACCCATAAGAAAGAAAATTCCTCTCTCATCAAATGTTCATATATAAATCTCAGGTATAACTCGTTTTGGCCCTGCTTGAATCATATCCCCAATCCTGAACCCGTATGCTGCCTTTTAATATGTGACTAGTATGGGTAATATTGTTATGTCATGTGGCAGAAGGCAGGCAGATAAGCTCTGGCAATGGACAGCACTAAATGGACTAAATGGAAGGAGGATGGGTTCTCCAAAGGAAAACCAAAGTGCCATTATTAAAAGAAAGGTAAACATAGATGCAAAAGCAATAAATATCCGTTATAGGGCACAACACCCTCATATATTATTTGTAATCTCTGTGGATAAAGGGCTAACAACACCTGTTTTCCTTCTGCTTAAGAATTTACACTTTGGCTAACTTTCTGGCTCTGTGTCCCTGCAAACCAGATACAAATAAAATATTGGCTATGTTTCTAAGAAGCATTGCTTATGATAGATTTGACCCCTAATTGGTAAATTGCATCTAGGCTGGGAGGAACTACAGATGAACAATAAATACCAGACGGGAAGCCAAACTTTGGGCTTCCCTGAGCGCAGTGACTCTTGTAACTGAGCATGTCCCTTGAAGGGGACACCTATGCAAGAGTGGCTCCCACACCCTCACAATGTAGATCTTGTCACTTTGCAACTGAGCTGTCAGTTGGGGGGCCAAATAGAATAGCTCCTGGACACCTATGTGTAGTATAATATGAAGAGGTACAGCTGATGCTGACAAGCTGTGGTTTGTGTCCTATGTCTTCTGAGTTGACTGGGGCCAAGTGTGGCCTGTGGTAATTTTGTGAGTTAAATGTGGGGTTAAAATACTGCCAGCCTTGTCACTTGTGCGGCTTGTTCAGGAAGTGTGTAATGAATGCTTGAAGTTTGTGATTGAATTTCAGAAAGGAAGAAAGCCATTTCTTCTGGCAGCTGAGAAGGGCCATGTTGAAATGATCGAAAAACTTATCTCACTTAATCTGTACACTTCCGAAAAGGACAAGGTGAGTTGGACTTTTATTTCTTTGGTGAGAACAAGAGAAAGGGAGTTATAATCAGTGTAGGGAGTAACAGTTGGTGGATTGATATGGATATGGTGATGATCTTTTAGTCAGCAGTTGAGTTGTTAAACTGTTCCTACAGTCAGAGAGAATCATGGGCTATCCTGGTGAAATTAATCCACATTTGCCATGGATTGTCCAGATTGGCAGTTTTAGTTCCATAAATGTTTGTGAAGTCAATAGGCTACATGGATTTTTCCACTATCAACTCCAACCCACCCCACCCCTTCCCTGAGTTCCTCTGGAGACTCAGCCCCACTGGCTGAGGAGGGAAAACCCCAGGGTGGACATCTGTATCTATGTGAACATCCATGATTGTTGTCTTAGGATAAATTTCTAGAAGTGGAATTGCAGGTCAAAGGGTTTTGCACCTTTTTAAGTCTTTCGATATACAATGCCAAAACTACCTCCCAGAAATCTTTCATCAGTTTACCCTCACATAGCTTAAATGGAATTACTTTTATTGCCCCCCCCCCCTTTTTTTGGCAAGCAAATTGGTAGCAAAGTAGAACAAAAGGTAGGGACTGATTTTATCTACTGTTTTAAAGAACTGTGTCTTTTCATTTAAATCTTAACTGTTTATAAATTTCACTTAAAACTATAGATAATGTAACCTACACTCAGGACCCCAGCTTTAACCAAATAAAACTTTTGAGAAGCCTCACTGCAGGCTGATTGTTGGAGGGACGTGTTCCTTGGTGCAGGGGATCCTACCTCAATTTTGTCTCTGTTGCAGGAAGGAAACACTGCCCTGCACCTCGCTGCAAAACATGGTCACAGTCCGGCAGTACAGGTGCTGCTAACTCAGTGGCACGAAATAAACGAGACCAATGAGGTATGTGGAAGTGCTCATTACAGGTGAGCATCCAATGAGGTATGTGGAATTGCTCATTACAGGTGAGCATGAAAAGTAGAAGGGTCAGAGGGATGGCTTTCAGAAAAGGAATGGGAGGAAAACCAAGAGGGTTAGTGCCACTGGGTGTCAAAATGTGGTGGTAAGAGATTCCTATTTTTTCTTTAAAGTATTCCACAACAATTCACTTTTTAATTTGTTTATTTATTCACCCCTTCATTACAAAATACTTGTTTAATGCATACTCTGTGTCAGGTGAAGTAGCTGTTCTTATTGTAGAAGCCTGCAGGGAAAGAAGGTCATGAAAAAAAATTAATATATTGGGCTAAATGGAATAATAGATGTATAGACAGTATTTCATGGGAACACAAAAGAAAATCTGTTTCAGAAATTACCGGGGCTTCAAACCGGTTCGAAGCCATGGAAATTACACAGTCTTCACAGAGGACATGATGTGTTAGTTGGGTTTTGACATTTGAGTGAGCATTGGTGGGAGGAAGACAGGAGAGCATGAAAGTAGGTTATTTCAGACGGAGGGAACTGAGGCATGAAAGAGCAAGATGTGTTCCAGGACTGACAGGTTTAGGGTGGCAGAAATTGAGGTGGAAAAGTGGGAGCTGAGTCTGCCAGGGAAGATGATGAAAGGCTGTGCTTGCCCAGAGGAGGGTTCGGGCTTTGACCTGTCAGCACCAGAGATCTTGAAGGGTATTAAGAAGCAAAGAGGCATGGGATCCATCTTGCGTATAAGAAAGTAACTCTGGCAGCAGCTTGAAGGGTGGCTTGGTGCCAGAAGAGCCTGGAGGTGGGGAGTCGCAGCCAAGAGACTGCAAAATGGCTCAAGTAAGAGCTGTGGGCCTCTCCCAGAGGCACTCACAGGTGGTAATCAAATGAAGTGATAGGAAGAGGCAGAGTCCATAGGTCTTCTGACCAGAGATTTAGGGAGCAGGAGTATATTCTGACCCCTAACTTTCTGACTTGGCCTAATGGAAGGGTGGGGTGCTTGTCCCTGACCTGTGCAACACAGGGGAGGAGCAGGTGTGTGGAGGAATAGGAAGGAAGTAATGAGGATTTGGATGGGTTAAGTTTGGGGCACCTGGGGGTTGAGTACATTCAGGCTGAGAGCGATAGAGAGAGAGAGAAATTGAATCTGGGATTCAGCAGAGGGGTTGTGGCTTCGGAGGCAGATTTGTGAGTCATCTGCTCTAGTTAACCTTTGGGTCATTGACTTTTGGAATAGCTCTTCAGAAACAGGTGAGTGGAGTCCTCTCTGACTTCATTATTTAATGTTTTGATGAGTTCTGAGCTTGGCATCTCTCCTGAGAGATAAGTAAGAAGTAACGTCAGTCATTTAAGATACCATTGGTTGTTAGTCACACCATTATTTTATGTAACACTAAGAAAGAATGCTACCAATCAAACTATGACACAAAGCTTTCCTGTAACTTAGAATATTTATATTTATTGAAAGGGAATTTTAGACTTTCATCTTAGATTTTTATCGTACATATGAAAAAATTAAGACAATTAAGAAAATAAGCTGGTTAAGCATTCCTAAACTTCACATTCAGAGAAAGTTCTTTTGAGTCACTCTCTTACTCATAGTCTTTGATGCCCCTGCTTTTCCAGACAAAATATTTCCTCTGTGCCTTCAAAGGAGTCCATGGGTGGTGCAAACGTTTAACGTGCTTGACTCCTAATGGAAAGGTTGGAGGTTTGAGTTCACCCAGAGCTACCTCGGAAGAAAGGACTGGCCATCTACTTCTGAAAAATCAGCCATTGAAGACCCTATGGAGTACAGTTCTACTCTGACACACATGGGGTCACGAGGAGTCAGAATCAATGCAATAATAACTGATTTTGTGCCTTCAAAGGTAATGCAGCATTTCATAAAGTGGTGCCCACCATTGTTTCTGGGATTTTTTTCCTAAGCTGCCAAGGCCCATTCTGAAAGTCTTAATAAACATTCTCTGGCAATGACATCTATATCATACTTGCCACCTGGTTAAATGAGGTTGTATGATACATCCTGATCTAGGATATGTTAACATGTGAAGCAATATAGATTTTAGAATTGATAGAGTCCAGTAATAAAAATAGCAACTGTGAGTGGACAACATGATGAAAATAGAAGGCTATGAAAATGAACATGTGTGATGCCTGGAACAAGTCAGTATTCCTTTTGGACCACACCAGCCTGGTCACATGTGTCCCTAGACCTGGGCAGACAGAAATTACAAGCGTGGCTCTGACTGCCTGGCCTGAATCCTGACACCACCACTCTCCAACTGGATGATCTTGGGCACATTACTTAATCCTTCTCAGCCTCAGTTTCCACATCTGCAAAATACCTCCTAAGGCCATAAGCAAACCCCCCTAAAAAAACCAGGCCCATTGCCATCTAGTCGATTTTAACTCATAGCAAACCTGTAGGACAGAGTAGAACTGCTCCATAGGGTTTCCAAGGAGTGGCTGGTAGATTTGAACTGCCAGCCTTTTGGTTAACAGCCAAGCTCTTAATCACTGTGCCACCAGGGCTCCATAACCAGTACCAGTTAATTCCAAGTCAATTCTGACTCATAGAGACCCCATGTGTGTCAGTGTAGAACTGTGCTCCATGGCTGATTATTTGGAAAGAGATCACCAGGCATCTCTTCCAAGGTGACTCTGGGTGAATTTGAAATGCCAACCTTTTAATTGGCACTAAGCACATTAACCATTTACACCACCCAAGGACCCCCATAAGGCCATGTTGTTGTTGTTGTTAGGTGCTGTTCAAGTTGGATCCAACTCATAGTGACCCCATGTATAACAAAAAGAAATGTTGCCCGGTCCTGCACCATTCTCACAGTTGTTGCTATGTTTGAGCCCATCGTTGCAGCCACTGTGTCAATCCATCTCATTGAGGGTCTTCCTATTTTTTGATGACCCTCTATTTTGCCAAGCATGCACTTCCTTCCCAATATTCTTCAAAATGGATCTGCATAAGGAAGGGGAAATATCCAAGTAACTATTGTGTGAGGCCAGTTCCATTTTTTCCCCTCTATCTTTTGGCCTAAACTAAACTCTCATTTTGTCCTACTAGAGTTTATCATAATGAGTTTCAGGAAACTTAAGTACTGAGATAGGGTATTACTTTTCTTTTTTTTTTTTAAATGACACAAAGTTTTAAGTCAGTTTTACAGATTAAAGCTGTACTTGGTACAAATGTTCTTCTTTGTACGTTTCATACTGCATTATAATTCTTTATTTCCATGTTTATCTTTCATAATAGGTTGTTATCTTCTTGTGGGCAGGGTCTGTATCCTATTCATCTTTCCAATCGCAATGCCTAGTAGTGCCTGACGTATAGTAGATGTCTAACAAACATTTACTACATGAATTAATAAAGGCTAGGGTCGCTATGAGTCAAAATCGACTCGACAGCAGTGGGTTTGGTTTTGGATTTTGGTGGGAGCATGAAAGATAGATGAGAACTTGAAAAGCAGTCAAGATAACAGGGCAGTTAAAGAGTGCAGGCTTTGGAGCCAAACAGGCTGGATGTGAGTGCTTGCTTTATAACTTTTCAGCTGAAGCTTAGTTTCCTTGTCTATAAAATGGGGATAATATTAACCCCTACCTCACAGGGTTGTTGTGAGATTTCACTGTGCTAAAGCACATTGTCTTGGCAGTCTAAGCTTGGCATACAATAGATGCTCAGAAATGCTATATATTATTATTAAGGGGTGTACCTAGCTTGTGCAAATGGTTAATGTGCTCAGCTGCTAACTGGAAGGTTGGAGGTTCAAGTGCACCCAGAGGTGCCTGATAAGAAAGGTCTGGCAATATACTTCTGAAAAATCATCGATTGAAACCCACAGTTCTAGTATGGCACACATGGAGTCACCATGACTGGGAATCAACTCCACAGCAACTGGTATTATTATTAAGCATAATGTACAAGAAAGCACACTGTTTCTCAAGTAATTTCATTCCATGCCATGGGGAATTGATTTTAAGTTTTTCTTTTGGTAGAATGGAGAAACACCATTCCTTTTGACTGTTGAAGGAGGTCATGAAGAATGCTGCAAAGTGCTCCTGGCAGCAGGAAGTGATATCAACATTCCAGATAAAGTATGTTCTCTTTGCTATGTTCACTAAAGCAGTGGGAGGGACTCAGAATGTTCTTTGGGGAATCCGGTCCTGCATTGATCCTCTCACTAGGATTTTTTTGGAATTAATATTTATAATATGCTTTGTTTGAGGTAAGAATTAATGATTTCCCGATGCTATTCCCTAATTGGAGCCCTGGTGGCACAGTGGTTAAGAGCTCAGGCTGCTAATCAAAAAGTCGGCAGTTCGAATATACCAGCTGCTCCTTGGAAACCCTATGGGGCACTTCTACTCTGTCCTATATAGGGTCGCTATGAGTCGGAATCGACTCAATGGCAATGGGATTATTCCCTAATTGACATCTACTCAAAAGCAATACCATTCTTTTGTTCATTTGGGAAAGAGGTCATTGAGAATGGGACAGAAGGAACAGGTAGCTTTTCTTACTTATTTTCTCCATAGCAACTAGTACATACCTGTCTTGTAAGTTGTTGTTGTTAGGTGCCATCGAGTCCTTTCCAACTCACAGAGACCCAATGTACAACAAAAGGAAACACTGCCCAGTCCTGTGCCATCCCCATAGTCGTTGCTGTTTGAGCCCATTGTTGCAGCCACTGTGTCAGTCCATCCTGTTGAGCGTCTTCCTCTTTTTCCCTGACCCTCTAACTTTACCAAGCCTGATGTCCTTCTCCATGGACTAGTCCCTCCTGATAACATGCCCAAAGTACATGAGATGCAGTCTCACCATCCTTCCTTCTAAGGAACATTGTGGCTGTACTTCTTCCAAGACAGATTGTTTGTTCTTCTGGCGGTCCATGTTATATTTAATATTCTTTGCCAACACCATAATTCAAAGGTATGAATGCTTCTTTGGTCTTCCTTATTCACTGTCT